TCTGTGCTCAATCCCCATTTCCTATACCCATGTCTTCTTGGAGCACATCCTTCAGGACCTTCCTGAGAAAGAGGTCACAGAAGATGTTTTTACTCCTTGCATGTCTGCAAATGAATTCATTCTACCCTTATACTGGATTCAAGTTACACTAGATGTAGAATTATAAGTCGTTAATCATTTTCCCTCAGGAATTAAGATACTGGCCCATTGTTTTGTAGCTTTCAACGTTGCTGTTGCAAACTCCAATGCCATTCTGATTCCTGATCCTTTGAGCATAAACTGTTTCTTTCCTCTGAATCCTCACTTTATTCATGGTGTTCAGAAATTTCATAATAATGTGCCTTTTTTCCTTGATGCAAGTGACATTTATTATTAAACATGTGTTTCATTTTATCACATAATGATGTGTCTTGATATGAGTCTTTTATCATCTATTGTGCTGAGACTCCTTTCCATATGAAAATACACATCTTTCAGTTTTAGGGAAGTTTTCTCATAATTTATATTTAAATTTCTTCCCTTTTAAGACTTTCAATTTTTTTTGTCTTTTTTGTTCTGCTTTCTGGAAATTTCTTCAAATTCTTCTCTTGAAATTTTTCACTTTAATTCTTTGGGTTCACTTCTTTCCATTCTCTTCCATCCTAGAAGATGTTTTCAAATACTTAGTAATCATTGGCTGTCCATTTACATACTAGAATGAGGAGCTAAAAACCTGGTGGACATTTCATTTCAAGGTGCATAACCAAGATAAATTTCACTCATGTGTACAAAATGTTCATAGAAGAATTATTTATAAGAGCCTCAAATTGGTCACTACACATCAACAACAAATGGAAATTGCCCATCAACAGTAGAAGGGATAAATAAGTGTGGTGTTGTACTGAATAAATTACAATTATGCAGCCACATGACTGAATCTCAAACATAATATTGAGCAAAAGAAAGTAGTCTCAAAAGTGTATGTGTTGTATAATTCATTTACGTAAAGTTCAAAAAAGTCAAAATTAATCTCTGGTGCTTATAGTAAGGATACTGGTTACCTCTGCTGGTGGCAGGGACTGGAAGAGCACGTGATGGGGAGCTTCTGTGTTACTCCTAATGTTCTATTTCTTAGCATCTGAGTGTTTGTTACATAGCTATGTTCAGTTTGTGAAAATTCCTCAAGCTGTACACTTATAACTCTGGGGTGTGTATGTGAATACAGGTATCCCACTTTTCAAAAGTTCGCTGTATGCCATTTCACTTTTACAAAAGACCTACTTCAGTACCTGTTTTCACTAACCAAAAAGAAAAAAAAAATACCAAAGAGGATTTTTGCTTTTACAAAAAAAAGGCAAAAAAGCAAAAACAGAATTCAGCAACTATTTCGCAGAGGCAGCACACATCTGAGCAGCAAGAGCAGCACCGCCACGCTCCCTCCCCGGAACTACACTCGGCATCTCAGCATCAAGCCTCAGTAGCTTTGAACTGTGTGAGCATCTGTGCTCTGTCTCGATTTATTCTGTGCATCTGTTAGCAAGATGAGCCCTAAAGTAATTTCTTCTTCACTCTATGCCATTTTGGCTTGCAAAAAGTTTCACAGGAACACTACTTTTGGATAATGGGGGAGACCTGTATATTCATATTTACTGAATATGTTTTATTTTATTAACATGTAGACAATGGTTTTATAGGAAAAACTCCGGATTTTAAAGTCATGATAACTTTGCTGTATATTATGAATTAAAAGTAAATTTGTGAATCATCTTTTGTGTTTCAAAGTCTAAGTTTGTACAACAGTTTTGCTTCATTACTATCAATAAATAAAACTGTTTTAAAAGATAAATTTTAATTTCATGCTCAGTCAACACTTGTACATGTTAATTCCCAATCAAGTTCTTTAAATTAGCTATTCAACCATTAAAATTAATGTAAAAATTAAAGGTTACAGTCATTTGCTATTTCCTTATTTTAAATATTGAGCCAGTATTGATCTTCAGTTCTGTTTAACTAAACAGATGCAGCCAAACAATTTCTCTAAAGGGAATCCTATGTTTCTATCCAATTACCTACAAACTGTAGATTTTACCCCAAAAAAGTTCTAAAACTAAATGTAAAAAAAATTAAGAAGGAATCTAATTTGGAAAATAAGACATTTCAGGAGAAAAAAAATAACCCTTTGAAAAAACATGGGCACTAATTTTTGAAATATGCATAATATTCATGGGAATAACAACAATCTTGTGTTACATTCGAAGTCAGAAATTAAAATTTAAAACGTAAAAATATCACTGTCTTGTATTCTGTCAGACATAGGCCTTGTGGACATTTGCATCAGTATTATTCCAACTAAAGAAGCTTAGAATGCCTTTTTCTTTGCTTTCTAGAATTTTCACCTACAATGCTACAGAATCAGAATTAGCATTAACTAAAGGTAAATACCAAACTATGAAAACTTCCCTTGGTAACAGAAACACATTCATTCATTCATTCACTTAGACAACAAATATTCCCCATGTTTCTTCTATATTCCAGAGACTCTACTAGAGCTAAGTATAGCAGTAAGGAAGTCAAAACCCAGCCCTGTCTCCAGAGTGCACAGCACAGAAAGGAAGACAGACAAAAGAGCTGAATGTCCGAGGGCTCCTAGGGGATAAGCCCCTGAACCTCCCTCAACACTTTTTCTTTCCTAAGACGACAGAAGTCATTAATAAATGTATGGCCACTGTTCTTGAGACAGATGAGAGCGTCACCAGATACTCCTGTATGTGTTTGTGCTGAGGAAGAATAAAAAAACACATGCCACACTTTTGTTTTAACACACTCTAGAGTATGTATAATAAGAGGAGGCACGTGCCAGGCACTATTCTAAGCACTTTACCAAAACCTGTATGAATTTAACTCCTGCAGTCCTCACAACTGTCCTGTGAGTCAGGCACCTTTATCATCTTCACTTTACAGACGAGGAAGACAAGCCCCAGACACTGTAAGCCAGTCACGCTCACGACAAACGACTACACATCCTGCTTCTCACTCTAAGGTACAAAATGCACTTGTAATCAACGTAGGGAGAGATGCTGTTTGAGATAAACAAGCTTGCACGCCTCTGAAAGTTCAATGAGATTAAACCCTGGGCACTGTGAGTGAATTTCCTTATTGGCCACAACCTCTGGCCTAGCAGCCCAGGGAAAATGTGTAGGAGACAATCAGGATTCCCCTGCAACAGCTGTCAGAGCAGTGGCCTGAAAATTTTCTCCAGGGCCCAGCGACCAGCTGGATTCAGCCCTCTCTGTTGTTTGCCCCCCACATGCCTGTGTAACATCATCAAGGCTCAGAACCACCTGACCAGTGTGGTTCCCACTTTTAGGCAGAGGGACAGGAGCACTGGAAATAACTGCGACTCCATATTAACAGGG